TCTATGTATTTTCGTCCCCAGGGACTCTTCATCAAACGTCCCGAGGACTAAAACAATGCTAGAACCATTGACAGCCGGATCTTGAAGTTCGACAAGCTTATTATTACAAACATTAGAGTATCACGCTTCCACACGTCATTGCAAGTTCCATTTTATGGGAAAAAACATGATTGTCTCATCACGACAACTCCCTGATCATGAGTTCCAAGGCGCGTTAAAAAAAGGGTAGTTTAAACATATTCATGCGAACAGAAAGTTTAGAACCGGTGTAAAAGACAGAATACAGATGCAGAAAGAGAATTAAAGACTGGTTGTGCAAAGGAAAAGTTAAGGGTCATTGAGGAACACTAAAGATTCGTAAAGAGAATTAAAGGAGCTTAAAGATTGATTTTGCGTAAAGAATGTTAAAGAATGTTAAAGGTTCGTAAAGGACAGCGAGTAAAGATGCGTAAAGAATATTAAAGACGCGTTAAATGTTAAAAGCGAAACTGGTCAAAATACTTCGGTATGGATGAGCCATGATTATTTCACTTCTTTGAGTATTTCTCCAAATAGAAAGTGGTTAATTATATCCATCTTGATCATTATCCTTTACGAACATTTAATATCCTTTACGCAGTCTTTACGCTTTCTCTGCAATTACGCGGAACTTGTCCGTAAAGAAGACGCTTTATATTTACGTTTCTTTACGCAAGAGTTAAAGATGCGTAAATTTGCGATTTCTTGCCGTGAATCTCACTGGAGTTCTAACAAATGACCACAAAGAGGATTATTTTTAACTTAACTCTACTTTAGCCTTACAAGCAAAACTGGCTCTGTATAAGCTGAATTTGTTCAGCCATTCCAGACATAATTTGAAATTATTAACTCACCCGTTGTTGATAGTTGAGTGGGTTGCCATCATTGGGTTTGCACCATAACGTGTATACCACTTTAGAGTATAACACAATCATTATGCCAACGGAAACTACAACCAGAAACAACCACGCCAAGCTGTAGGCTTTAATCATCCACTTTTTGGGCCAGGTTTGCACACAATGATTTTTCTGGTTATCAAATGTCCTGACGAGAAATTTTGGTATGTTGAAAATTATTGAGAACACCCAAGAAGTAATGACGATCACCTGAAAAGTAAATTCATGGAACAGTTTCATTTTCTTCCAAAATATTTTAATCCGAGGTGTAATTTTTTTAGGGTTATCCCGAGTGACTATGCATATTTTTAGAATTAAAAAAAATTCGAATTCTAATACGTTTAGAATCATTTATTGTTTCTTATTAGAGTATATTTTTCAAGTTAAGGAATAACATATGTCTTTAAGAATATCAAAAACGTTTAATTCAGTTAAATGTACTGACGGCATAAGGCGTATTGCATGAGAAGTGACAATCAGTCTTGCTGTACCATGTAAATGAAATTGACGATGATTATGCTAGCTCTGCTATCAATGTTTTAAACGAATATTTTCTTTCTCAGTCCTACTAAGTCCAAAAGAATTTCACCTTTGAGTCTGTGCGTAGATGAATTTATTTTCAAATATTACCCATTCCAAGTTAACTTTCCCTGATATTTCTTGAGGGACTTAGAAGTGATTGGTAGTTTAAAGTTCTGATATCGGATTACTTTCCCAGTGTGTTTTTAAACAGCCAGAGATCTATGATCATGAAAATTAATCTTCGACGCGAACAGAAAATGCTGATACATTATTTCTTTTCAATAATAGCTTGTCAGAGACCTTAGAAAGTACTTTCACCTGGTTTGTCAACGGGAATGTTTTTTAACTCACCTTAAGCTTACGGTGGGTCAGCTTTCTATCTGGATCCAGTGGATAAAGCACAGTATAATATCGTTCAACAGCAATAGCTACCAAAGTAACAACTGAGGTAATTCCAGGAAGCCAGGCCAGATTTCCACCTGTCACCAACTTACAGAGGACTGAGCCTGCAGTTCCATCCGGGTGTACTATATTGAAGCTTACAACAATCTTTGGTGTGATAAATGTTGCATACAGGATATCGGAAATAGCCAGGTTCACGAGTAGATAATTTATGGGAATCCTTTGGAGTGAAAGAGCGAACTCAGAAAGGTCAATAAGGAACATAATAATCGAGTTTTCTTTTATTCGTAAAGTGAAATACCGTTACCGAAATTCCAAAGGCATTAAAGCATTGACTTGTAATCAAACGAGTTTCACTCGCTGCAGAAATTTCTAAGAATCAACATTTTCTAAAACATCAGAAACACTTATTCTAGATTAAAGATAACTGACGTTAAAAGAATTTCTACTAGATATCAGTCAAGTAGAAGACACAAATGACAACCCGTAAATGTATTATGCGGTAAATCTTAAAAACTTTCCTTGATCCTCATGATTATGCCGAAAATTATATCTATTATGAAATACAGAGAAGTAGAAGGAAGGAACATACGAAGAGTGGAGTGTAACTAGTGATTACCTCATCTGAAGGTGTCGTTTTATAATCAAACAAAGCAATGTATTTCCTGCAATGTCCACAGCGACAAGCGTTAACAGTATGGTGGTGATCACGTAATTAGCTGTATCAGACACGACCATCGTGCAGAGGATCAATGCTGGTTATGCATCACCTGAACAGAGACAAACCTAAATCTGTTAATTTTTAAACGAGTTTTCTTGTATACCTTTAAGTTAATTTCAATCTTGTTGGGGATCAACATTTGACATTTTAATTTGCTATTTCTGTCACACTTTGTAAGTTAAACAAATCGATCAAAATTTCCCGTGGTCTGTAACCTTATTGATTATAGAAATGACGTCAAAAAAGTTCGAACTTAAGTGAGACTCACGAGGTTTCAGTTTTATATTGCCTTCAAGTTCGAACCACAATTACCCAAACACAATTCCCCAACCACAACCCTTATTTGCGTAGTAAACCTTGAAATGGATAACTCGCTAAAATGAGATCTTTTCAACACAGTAAGCGGTCAGATGACAAGCGATGCACTGTGGAAGTAAGGTGAGGTATTTTTATTGAGAATTTGATTGTATTTTTTTATTCCTAGGAGCGGTCGTAAATATTCCCATACAAACTCTTATAATTTCGCCATGACTCTTAATTCGTAAGATGATCATCCCACAGCTGGATCTTGGGCCACCTGTGATCTGCTTAGTCACAATTGCAAGATTGCAATCGATCAAAAACAACCGTTAATTTTATGGAAGATTGCTGCTGCCTTCCACCAACTCCTATAGCGCAGGCCCAGGTTGTTCGAAGGTCAGATAACTCTATTCACTGGATAACTCTCTATCCGGTAGATAACGCTATACGTTTTGCCATCACTTATCGGCTGGATAGCGATTTCTCCGTTGGATAGCGTTATCCACCCTTTGTACAACTGGGCCCTAATGTTTATCGGTAAGGAATACTTTTTTGTGTTTGATGGCATGCTCCGATCATGAATAACGCCTGTGACTAATCTGTGACCAAGGAGGCCACAAAACTCTTCTATTCAGTATATCTGGTACGTCTGTGGCTTGTTTTCACCACCAATTTCAAATTGCCTCGACACGATGCCATAAAAACATCACCAACGCTATAAGGCAAAGAAGTCGTTTGCCTGATGAGACCTATCAGACTAAGGGCTTTATTCAGGTAATCTAATTCTAATCACACCAATATGCAACACAAGAAAACGTGCGGCTACGTGTTACAAGTCAGGGGCAGTGGATTAAAACTGACAACACCGTGAAATTTTACAGTAATCAATGCCCACGATTTCCTTACACGGGCTTCAACAATTGTATTTCTATTAATGTTAGTGCATTTGCGTCTATCTGACGATAAAGCATCTAATTCCTCCCGTCTGAGATGTCAAATATTTATGAAGATTTTTACGGCCTTGAATGCTCAATGAGCAACCAAAATTTTGCGGTGAGCTATTAAATGTAAACCACAAGCCACCTCGCTTGAAAATTTAATTTGCACCATTTTGTCAATCAACGATATAGTCACACCAAAACTGATGTTAATTAAAGTAACCATTGGTCGTTGGACTCGGGAAGAGAATTGCAAATACGGAAACAAAAACAGTCTCGAGAGGTTGTACAATAGGTTTTTAAAGTGCCTTTTTTTCAGCAATGCCCCCTAAAATGTCTGATCATTTTGTATCATAGGAAGGGGGCCATCAAAGCTTGGCAAAAAAAAATCGATCAGGCAGCTATCCATAGGAGGCTTCTTTGTTTGTCCTCTGAATATTTTATGACGCATAATGATCAGGGAAAGAACAGACAATAAAAAATTGTGGTTGATTTGTTAAATAGATTCACACGGGAGTATTACGGACAAGAAGTAACCTGCCAAAGAGTTCTCGAAGTGAAGCATGTTATGTACATACATATCCTAAACACTGTACAGACAATCATACAATGCTTCAATTCTCTTACGACACAGCAATCGCCACTTGAAATGCAGCGTTTCGTGCCCTCCATATTTATCAAAAATTACCCAATTTCCTCGACGCCCTGGGTAAAGACATGCATTTTCTCGTGCTATAAAGACAACACCACATTATTTTTTTCTTCTATCCAAATTTTAGCGACGGTTCAAAAAGTGCAAATAATGAATCGATTTCATATTCAAGTAAAGAGCTGTTTGAATAAGACTGCATAGTTCATAAGGCGCTGTTTCATCAAAATACAACAACTGCTATATATTCTTTTTTTTAAATTTTTTTTTATCAATTTTGTTTTTATGGACATGCTTCTCCCATAACACAGCATTACCTACAAAATTTGAAGTAGCAGTAGTAGTTCATTATGCCGGTGTTGATCTGAATTCCATCTTTACGAAAGCTTTTTCGCAAATCCTTTATGATTTAAACTCGTGAAAAATTGGAAAAATATGGAAGCCCTCACCTCCAGCAGGCTGAGAAGAAAGAGCTTTCTACGGTATCATTTTACCAACCAAAATCAGCTAAATTCCCCCGACATAATTTCTTGAAGCGGCTTGTTTTGAATTCTTGCCAAAATGTTCAACTTGTCTGAGACAGAGCATGCGGATCAATTGAACCACGCAGATGTTTTCAGAGATCATATGTACATCTTTTCGCACCGTGGATTTTAATATATGCAGCAGACCATCCTTATTAAGGTTTGGGACTTTTTAGTTACCTATTACGTTACTTTTCTTGTCTGTTCAGGGGTCTGTGAAGTTAACCGAAAGCTGGGTGCTGTTGGTCTCGCTATTATTGAGTTTTCTTCTGCTTATTATATTCTTATTACCCTCTTAATAGAAAAGAAGTTTTACGCGTTCGTATATTAAGCATTTAGTCGTAGAAAGTTGGTTTAAATTACATTCCTCTCCATTGTTAGCAATCAAATACCTTGGAACAATTCAATTCATTAGAGCGCATCCACACTCAGGTTTTTGAATTCGAAAAAGATGAATCAAATAAAGGAGGAAAGTGATTGGGGAAATGAATAAATCCATGATAACATAATTATTAATAAAAGCCATAATTTGGATTTCTCGTTTTTTAAAGTGCTGAAGAATTCGATTGATTAGAGTATTCAAGAAAGTTTCATGATTTTCCCAGACGCAAAAAATTTTTTCAATCTCAGTTCACTTCTTGCTTGCCTTAAATTTAACAGAGCACCGTTGGAGCTTTTTCATAAGTCGAACGAATGTCAAGTTCAAGCACATTACTTCCTGATAATTTCTGTGAAATTTTATAGTCGCCTCTCAACCTTTCTTTGGAGCCACAGCAATTCAACATCGGGAGTAAACCGGTATTGTTGCTTTGTAACGCCGTAAGATTGGTCTCACGAACTCGCGTCCACCATTTCAACTGATCAGATGCAAAGGTAGAGCCAATCGCGACTTGAACAGTCGCGTTTTCCAGCTGTTCAAATTGAATTCTTATTGGTCTCCTGTGAAATTTACCTTACTTCAAATTGGTTACTGTGATTACATTTGTTCTTCGTCTGCGATCTAAGAATGTCAAATATAAATGAAATTACTTCGGTACAAAAATGATGATATTGATTTTTGAGAAGGCTCCTGAAAGGTAAACATGATGTAGTTAATGTAAATGTCACATTTGAAAATAAGTAATTATCTCTCATTTGTTGCATGAAAGCTTTCAATAGTGCTGAAAGTCAAATATATGTAAATAAGTAAAATATAAACACGAGCTAAAAAAAAAAGGAGCAAAGACGTTGTATCACTATAATGTAAAACTACCTTGATATTCCGGATGTAATTCCATAATTCCTTTTTTTCGTTCATTTGTTTCTGATTTCAATTTCACTTTTCATCAAACAATTAGCCCCGCTTTATAATCTCAACTGAAACAGGGCCGTCACTAATATAATTCGATGCCCATCTGTTGTAAAATCGGACTCCAAAACCAAATCTAATTACATTGGTTACTAGAACCGAACCGGCAAATTAAATGTAGAATTGAGAAGTTCTCCCGGTTTTCCTTCCGTATCCTCTCTTCAAGTCTTTTGAATAACATATGCGGGTACTTTTCTTCTGATCTTCACTGCGATTTACCTCAGGCTTGACTTGTTTAACTCTCCTTTCTATTCAAAATTAAGCTTTCATGACAGATGCCAAACAATTATTTCATTTAGTCATTGTACCGCCGTATGTGGTCAGGTTTGCTTATGTCGACCGGTTGTTTATATGCCAGCCTTGGCATTTCTTCAAAACCAGGAATATCTTTGTAACCCAGTAATCATTTGTGACAGTGTTTATATGGTGTCCGAGACATAGGATGCATAAAGAGATCAAACTATGAAAAAGAACGAGGAAGTTGGGTGCCGTGGTTAAGCTGCTGAAATGAAAACATTTAAGCTTTCGCCTGCATGCTAACATAACATCCGGGACTAGCTTTCATGATGCATAAAAAACTCATAATGCGCAACTTGGTAAAACATGCCTTCCTATTAGCTGAATAAAAACACGCCACACTTCTCACGGGGTCACAGAGTAGCATTTGAAGAAATCCATCCTCAGTTGACAACTGAATTCGCTACTCTAAAGTCTCTTCCAATTCTCGACGACTTAATTTGGCGAATGTCACACATAAAAATCTAAAATCGGCGGGTAACACTATTTGTGGTTACTTTGCATCAGCCTTCAATACGCTCTCGAGGATGAAACTGGGAAAATTACTGTCGTTTTCTCTTTTCTTCTCTTTTCTTCCCTTTTATCTTTTATCAATATTTATTTATTTTCTAGTTATTTATGGTGAGAGATCTCTAAAGAGAAGTGCGATAGCTACCGCTCACAGAGATTTCAGAGGTTTGTTGATGCATGCATTTGATAATAATACGCCCGGAAATTCAATCTCCGTCTTGAATTCAGTTCGATTCAATTCTTCGCCCGTAACTCTGAAATAATTTGTTTTAATAGAAGTTGAATAAATTAGTGAATCAAAAAAAAATGATTACCCTTGAATGTTTTCACTGATCTATCTTTGGCACTGATATCTATTGATATTTGCTGAATGTTTTTCGCCAAAATTAATGGCCGGCAAAAACACGCCGGTTGTGCTTTAATTTCGCTACTTTCTTTAAAAGTATGGAAACGCAATCACGCTTATTTCCAAGGATTAA